ACCCTATGCCAAACCCTATGCCTACACCTACCCTTCACCCTGACCCTTACAATTATGCTGACCCTGACACTAAACCTTACCCTACCTCTACGACTAACCCTAACACTAACCCTACCCCTATGTGTGACCCTGACCTATGCCTACTTATAACCCTACCACTACACGTACCACTACCCATGACTCTGCCCTAACATGACCCTGACCCTACCCCTACCCCTGACCCTGTCCTTGACCATAACCCTGAAGGTGACCCTGATCCTGACCATAACCCTAAACCTGACCCTGCCCTGGACCATAACCCTACCCCTACAACTGCCCCTGACCCTGATCCTGAATCTAACACTAACCACTACCCCTAACACTTACCCTGACCCTGCCCCTAACCCTAAACCTAACCCTAACACTACCCCTACCACTACCTCTATCCCTACACAAGAACCTGACACTGACCCTGACCTCAATCCTAACCCTAACCCCTAACCATAATCCCTAACCCCAACCTTAACCTGTAATCCCAAACCCTAAAACCCTAACCATAACCTAACCCTAACACTAACGCTAGGCCTAGCTGTAGCCCTAACCCTAACCCTAACCCTAAACCCTAAGCCTAACCATAATCCTAACCCAAACCTAACTCTAACCCCAAACCCAACCCTAACACCAAACTCTGACCAGTAATCGTAATCATAATCCCTAACCCAAACCCCCACCCCAACCCCAATCCTAACCATAAACCCTAAACTCTAACTCTAACCCAAACCTGAAATCCTAACGCCTAAGCATAATCCTAACTCTAACCCCAAACCCAATCCCAACAATAAACCCTAACCCTAACCCCAAACCCTGAAAACTACCCCTAAACCCTAACCCTAAGCCATAGACCTAGTCCTAGCCCTAGCCCTAACTCCAAACGCCTAATGCCTAAGACTAACCCTAACCCTAACCCCTCACCCTAAACCTAAACCTACCCCCAACCCCAACCCCAAGCCCAAGCCCAAGCAGACCCTAACCTTAACCCTAACCCTATCCCTAAACCCCACCCCAACACCCATCCTAACCCTAACCCCGACCCCAACCCCCATCGCAACCCAAACCCTACCCTTACCACTACTCCTACCCCTGTCCCTTTCCCTTACCTTAACCCCTAAACACCAAACTCTAAACTGTAACCCTAAACTCTAGCCCTAGCCCTAGCCTAGCCCTAGCCCTTACCCTAACCTCTAACCCCTACCCCCTAAACCTAACCCTAACACCTAAGCATAACCCTAACCCTAATCCCAACCCCAACACAAAACCCAACCAACACCCTTCCCCTACTCCTTACACTTACCCTAACCCTAAACCCTAAATGTTAACCCTAACCGTCACTCTAACCTAAACCTTCAACCCTGACCCCTCACATCTATTCCTCATCCTGACCCTAACTCTAACTCTCTAACCCTAACTGTAATCTTTGATCCCAGACCCTGACACCAACCCACCCTAAACCTTACCCTCTAACCCTAACCCCAGACCCTGACCCTAACCCTAATTCTAACCCTAACCCTGCACCTATCCCTACCCCTACCCCTAGTCCTGACCCCGAATCTGATTCTGACCCTGAGTCTAACCCTAACTCTGACCCTGAGCAGACCCCTACCCATACCCCTGACCCTGACTCTGACCTTGACCCTAAACCGAACCCTAACCCACAACCTCATCCTACAGCCAACACTAACCCTACCCCTACCACTTCCACTACCTCTACTCCTACTGCTGACCTTGACTCTGACACTGACTCTGAACCTGACCCTGACCCTACCCATATGCCTGAACATACCCCTAATCCTGACCCTGACACTTTCCCTGACCCCATCCCTGACCCTAAGCCCTACACCTACCCCTACCCTGGACCCTAACTCTGACCCTAACCCTGAATCTACCCCTAACCCTACACCTAAACCTACCCCTTATACCAGACCCAGACCATAACCCTAAACCTAACCATAACCCTAATCTCTAAACCTCATGCTCACCCTCACCCACACCCTCATTCTAACTGAAACATACTCCTAACCCTAACCCTAACTCTGACCCCTGACTCCAACCCTGACCCTAACCTTATCCCTATCCACAACTATTAACACTAACACTAACCCCTAATGATAACGCCTAACTCTAAACCTAAACCCTGACCTCATATTGACCTGACTCGACTCCAACCCTAAACACTAAACCCTAAACCCAACCCTAAAACCCTAAACCTTGCCCTAGTCCTAAACTTAACCTTAACCCTAACCCCTAACTCTATTCTCAACCCTACCCTAACTCTGCCCCTAACCCTCATCCTAACCCTTAACCCTAACCCTAACTCCTAACCACTAACACATAACACCTAAACCTAAACCTAGCCCATAACTCCTAAGCCTAAGCCTAACCTGAACCTTAATGCCTACTCCTAAACCTAAACCTAAACCTAAACCTAACCCTAACTCTAACCCAAATCCCCTAACCCTAACCTTGTAACTTTAACCAGAACCCTAACCCTAAATCCTGACTCTGACCCTGACCCTGAACCTGACCCTGGCCATAACCACAACCCCAACCCAAACCCGAAACCCTAAACACTACCTTAACACTAACACAAACCTTAAACCCTAAACCCTAACCTAACCCTAACTCTAACCCTAACCCCAAGCCCCATCCCATCCCTACCACTACTCCTACCCCTACCCCTTACCCTAACCCTAACCCCTAACTCCTAACCCCAACCTTAGCCTTGGCCCAGCCCTAGCCCTTACCCCAACCCTAAAGCCCGACCCTAACCTAAACTCTAAACCCTGATCCCTCACACCTCTTCCTCACCCTGACCCTAACCCTCTAACCCTAACCTTTACCCTAACCCTTGACCCCTCACCCCGACACTTACCCAAGCCTAACCCTCTTACCCTCTAACCCTAACCCCAGACCATGACCCTAACCCTCTAACTCTAACCCCAACCCTAACCCATAACCCCTAACCCTACCACTACACCTGACCCTAACCCCTAACTCTAACTCTAACCCTACCCCTCACTCCAACCCCTGACCCTAACTTCTGACTCTGCCCCTAAACCCCTACCATAAATCCTGACCCTACACCTGACATCTCTAACCCCTCTAACCCCCATCCTTTTCCCACTCAACCCCTAACCCCCAAACCCTATTCTTAACTCCTAGTCCCAAGCCCCAAACCCTAAACAGAAGCTCTAATCCTCACCCTAAGTTCTAGAACATAACTCTAGACTGCAGACCCTCAAGCCCTGATCCTTGCCCTGCGAAATGAACAAGAGCCACTGCAACTCAACTGAAGTTGGGAAGGCCTGTAGGGGGATCTCTCCCGCCCTACCATACATGTCAATCACTCCAGACAGGAAGAGACTTAGGCTGGCATCTCTGACAGGAAGGTATTTAGTACTTTACTACTCATTAGAAGGAAGGACGATTTCTCTCCTCGCCCAGCAACAGATAAGCCAGTGAGAAACCACTACACTCAGCCAACTATCACTTTCCTCCAAGGGACTTTCCTTGTAAGCAGCCCCCAACTCCCCCTTTTCTACTATAAAAGCAAGCCCATTCTCTTGTCTCACCAGATTTGCCTGTGGTCCACCATAGCATGCACATCCCCAATTGCGATTCTTTTTTCTATTCTCAGATAAACAAGTTTTGTGGGTAAAATAACTGGCCAATTTACTTTTTTAGTTGATGTGAACACAAATAACCCATAATCAATCTATGAATAAAAATTGGGGTGAGTTTATTATGATTCCATTTGAGGACTATAGCCCTGGAGAACTTTTCCACCAGGGAAGGAAGCTGTCTGAAGAAGTGGGGTGTACAGAGTGGTTATATACCGTCTTGGAACAAACAGCATACACCACATAGGACAGGACTATCTCTCACTAAAGTCTGGAGATGCTTTTCTAGCAGAACAGGTCAGTGTCACAAGGTGAGCACAGCAAGTCAGTGGTCAGCAGGTCAGTGGTCATGAGATGAGTTCAGTGGTCAGCAGGTCAGTGGTCATGAGATGAGTTTAGTGGTCAGCAGGTCAGTGGTCATGAGATGAGTTAAAGCAGGTCAGTAACCAGTTGTTAGTTTCTGGGGAAAAATGCTTATCTTGAAAGAAATGCTGATACGGGAGAAGTTACATCCCAATATTTAAGGGCACCATTCTTTGGGACACTGAAAATGTTTAAAGCAGATGTACAATGCATGCTTGACAGACCACATCAGACATTTTGGAAAAACAAGGTTGGGCCAAATTAGTTTTAAACCAAACGGCTTCCTCATATACTCCAATATACCCTATTGCTTTTCATTTATTCATCATTGACAACCCCAACCCTGACCCGCTGAATCCTGACCACAACCCAGATGACCCTGACCTTGAGCCTCTAACTCTGACCACCTAAGCCTGACTTTGATCCTCTCATCCCTCATTCCCTAACGCTTCACCCTCTAAGCCTAACTCTCCAACCCCCTAACCCCACCTCTAACCCCGGCTGGGAGCCCAAAATCCCTAATAGGGAGCACAAATCCCAAACCCTAACCCTCTGGCCCCCTCCTAAACCCTTCGCCCTAACCCCATCCTAATCGCCCCTCATGTCACCCTTCACCCCATTACTAATGACGTGGACCGTGGACATTTAGGGACCAAAAGTAGCTGCACCCCAGCCCCGCAGAACCCCGCCCCCGCATGTCCCCGGGCTGCCCCAAGAAGAGCAGAAGTGAACTGTCCGCTCAGGACAGGCCAGACTGGCTCAAAATCAAAGAGACTGCATTCTGCAGCACGTGGCTCTCCTAAACAACCGCGGGAGGCCCCGTAACCCACGTGGGTGGACGCGACCCGCCCCAGTCACGGGGTCGAAAGTCAGGACGCGGGAGTTAGCCAAACCAGGGCGGTTTCCCTAGTCCCGCCCCCTCGCGTCTATCGTCCAATCACTTCTCTCCCGCCGCCCTCCGCGCCTTCCAGTGCCCGACTTCCGCCTTCCGGCCGTCCGAGCTGCCCGCTCTGCGGGCTCCATGGCGGCCGCCGGCGCGGGGTTGGCCGAGCTGGGCTTCGCCGAGGCGGCGCCGGCGTGGCGGCTGCGCAGCGAGCAGTTCCCCAGCAAAGTGGGCGGGCGGCCGGCGTGGCTCGGCGCGGCCGGGCTGCCGGGGCCTGCGGAAATGTCCTGCGTGCTGTGCGGCCGCCCGCTGGCCTTCGTGCTGCAGCTGTACGCGCCGCTGCCCGGCCGCGCCGACGCCTTCCACCGCGGCCTCTTCCTCTTCTGCTGCCGCGCGCCGCCGTGTTGCGCCGGCCTCCGCGGTGAGCCGCCGTCCGGGGCCGAGGCTGGGAGGACGACGCGCGCCCCCCGCCTTGGGTCCGCCCCCCGCGTCCCTCGCCCTTCGCCCGGAGTCTCCAAGGCGTCCCCTCCCATCCGCGCACCCGCGTTCGGGTTGCTCGGTTGGTGCAGGGCCGGCGTGTTAACTTCAGAGAGAGCCTGTCCCCATAGCTTGTCCATATCTCTGACCTCACCTACCCTCGTGGTCATCGTGAACGAGCTCAGAGAGCCCACTCAGTGTGGGCACCAAGGCAGTTTCTGGACTCTAAAAAAATTCTCTTGTTCTTTTTCATTTTTCTTTCTTTTCTCTTCTCCCAGAAAATAAGCTCCCTGAAAGCAAAAACTTCCCTGTTTTTCTCTTTAAGAAATGTCTTTTCACTCATTTGTGGAGTGAGGCTCAAATATTTGAATTGCTATATTGTATTAAAGTATTTACATTTCTCCTTGTTTTCTCTTAGTTTTCAGAAATCAGCTACCCAGGAAAAATGACTTTTACTCCTATGAGCCGCCTTCTGAGGATCCTCCTCCCGAGACAGGAGAATCCATGTGCCTCCAGCTCAAGTCTGGTGCTCATCTCTGCAGGGTTTGTGGCTGTTTAGGCCCCAAAACGTGCTCCAGATGTCACAGGGCACATTACTGCAGTAAGGAGCATCAGACTCTAGACTGGAGACTGGGACATAAGCAAGCTTGTACACAATCAGGTAAGTCAATTCTTTTTTTGTTCTTAACTTTCAGTTCAGTTTCATAGTGTCTACCAACCCAAATCTTTTATTTTTTTTTTATTTGTGAGAAAGATCAGCCCTGAGCTAACATCTCTTGTTAATCGTCCTTTTTTTGTTGAAGAAGACTGGCCCTGGGCTAACATCTGTGCCCATCTTCCTCCACTTTATATGGGACACCACCACAGCATGGCCTGACAAGCGGTGCATTGGTGCGCACCCGGGATCCTAACCCAGGCCGCCAGCAGCAGAGCACGCACACTTAACTGCTGGACCACTGGGCCGGCCCCCCAAATCTTTTATTTTGAGGATAACAATTAGAAAAGGTATAATCCTGTCTAAAATTCTGGTAACGTAAAAAGAGGAGCTCTGAGGTCTTGCCCACTCCGTTATGTCCTAGCCTTGACTGAATATAGGCATTTAATTTATGATCTGTAGCCAAAAATGCTAAAGCTACATATATTAATTCATTATGGAAAACTGTTAGTACATGGAATATACTTTAGAAATAACAAATTAGACTATCTTCAAATGATTACTAATAATGCTAGTTACCTTTTTTTGTTTCAGATAATTTGGACACTACAGTTCCAGACCACAACTTCCTTTTTCCAGAATTTGAAATTGTAATAGAAACAGAAGATGAGATTACACCTCAAACTGTGGAAAAAGAAGATGAATCAGAGATTAGAGGGAGCATGGGTAAGGAGTCAGCTTCAGAACTTCCTTCATTAAGTGATTAAAGATTATGCTTGAAGGAAAGGGCTCAGTATGTCAAGAAGAGAGGTGCTGACAGGAAGAGTCAACTGATTTTGGAGGCTGCAGCCTATAATTTTCAAACATTGCCTCATTTGAAAATATACTTCCTGTATCTCCCTCCCTGACATGTATCAGGTACGTTCTGGTTCCTATAAAGACACGTCAGAGGAAGTATCCAAGTGGTCCCTTGGGTAGGGCCGCACAAGATGCTGGAAACTTGGTAAGTTCATACGGGTCCTGGATCTGTTCTCAGATGGAGACAGTGCACGTGAGAGTGCCTAGCATATGTTCGACAGGTGGCAGAAGCCCTTTAAAAGTTAGTTTCTCTTTCATCTGGCCAGTTTTAGATACACGATTTTGTTAGTTATCAGAGATGATGGCAGTCCAGAGTAGCGCTTGTGCTGACCAAATACTTAAGGCATGATGAGTAGGCAGCATTTATACAACACTTACTCTGCACCAAGCGCTATTTGCACATGATCTTATTACCCTACAGCAGCACGATAAATTAGAAGCTCTACCCTATTCTGCAGTGAGGAACTTGAGGTTCTGGGTGTAACCTGTTTGGTCATGTAACTGAACAGTTGTTAAGTTTTAGAACTGGAGTTTGAGTTCACATCTGACTGATTCTAGAACTTGGGCTCTTCATTACCACAAAATTAGATTTTAGAATCTAAATTAGATTTTAGATTAGAATGTCAACTTAATGGTTTATTCTTCCTACTCAGAGGATATCAAAAATATTCCTTGATACATGTTACAAAGACTAAATTCTGTTGGGGACAGCAGTGGTTCAGCAGATTCCAGGAGATGAGTGTGGACAAGCAATGAGCTGGTAGGTCCACAGAGAGCGTGTGATGACTGAATGAGTGTACCAGCTGGGAGAGAAGTATATGCAACATGAAGAGATTTGAGTAAGAGTCCCGACAGCATACAGACAGTTGTGACAAGAAGAGCTCACGTTTGTTGGGTGTCCTGAGCCCAAGACTTGGGCTGTTCTTTCAGTTTGAAGCTTTAAAGAGAAGTGCTCACTCGGAGCCTGTATAGTAAATAATGCTTCATGGAGTACCTGGAAATTGAGATGGTCGTAAAGCGTCAACCTTAATGAATTCAGATAGGGAAAGCTTGTGGAAACGTCTGGCCTTCACCATCTGATTTAACACTAAGTTGGTTAGTTAAAACTGTCTTCGCTCAGCACGTGTGAACTGTCAAATCTTGGGGATCATTCCTGTTGCCATAATAGTTATGTTGACAATTTTCCAGATGAAGCACCTGAGGAAGAATTGGATTCCATGGCAAAACATGAATCCAGGGAAGATAACGTTTTCCAGAAGTTTAAAACTAAAATAGCCCTTGAACCAGAACAGGTAAAATAGAACTCATTAGCTCCTTCTTGTGTTCTTTTCAGGTGGTGTTTCAGGGGTATAATCCCTGAGAAGAAGTAACTCTTTATACTAAGCGTTATAATCAAGAGTCCCTAACACAGATGGTACATATGGAAACATGTTTTGGAGATGCTGATCCTTTTAATAGTTATTGAAAGACTAACGGTTAATATATAGGATTCATTTCTAAAGAAAGCATCAGGGATAGGAGATGAGTGAGACGTTGCCTGTGATACTTGGAGTTTAGGCACCAATAGCAAAATGAAAGAAAAAAGATATTTTTGCCCGTTTTTCCAACAGGGACCTTTGGCTTGTAAACACTGGTTTTGTGAAAAGAGTAATGGGCTTTGGTGTTGGGAAGAACCCTAGATCCTTGAGTTATATACTGATGTGAGCGCATCTAAAGTGTGAAAAAAATAAGGGTGGTTGTGAGGATTATGGGAGATTGGAGGCACATAGTGTTCAATAAACGTTCCCCCCCCTGCCTTTTTTTTGTGAGGAAGATCAGCCCTGAGCTAACATCCATGCTAATCCTCTTCTTTTTGCTGAGGAAGACCGGCTCTGAGCTAACGTCTATTGCCAATCCTCCCTTTTTTTTCCCCCCCAGTAGATAGCTGTACGTCATAGTTCCACATCCTTCTAGTTGCTGTATGTGGGACGCAGCCTCAGCGTGGCCGGAGAAGCGGTGCGTCAGTGCGTGCCCGCAATCCGAACCCGGGCCACCAGTAGCAGAGTGCGCGCACTTAACCACTAAGCCACAGGGCCGGCCCCACATTTCCCTTCTTTATCTCTGTTCTTCCATCAACATTATTCCCCTTAACCTTCCCTCTCCACAAACATAAATCGCTAAAGAAAATTCAGCTGAATTCCCATAAGCCAGTCACTAGATGAAATAAATATCCAGGGGCTTAGAGGAAGAATAGATCTAGGTCGTAAACACTGAAAATGTGGTTTTTAGCAATGCATATGCTTTTAACAAAATATAGGAAAACTGTTCAGTTGTTATATTAGATCTTATAATGAAATTTATTTCTAGTATTTATCTAAACACCGTGCTTCACTTGGTATTTGTGCCTTTTAAAAGTTTTAATTAAGGTTCCTTATCTCGGTGTGAAGGTAAGCAGACACTCTGGGCTACATTTTGTATTCAGAACCTGGTTAATGGGTAAACAGGATTATTGTTAGTCCCTTCACAAAATATTCATAGGATTCAGATTCTAACCATATTATCATCTAAGATATATATTTTTGATATCCTGAGTCAGATAAGCTGAAATATTTGGTCTGAGGGGGTAGCAGTGTTTCATCAGTGTAGGAGCACGTACAGAGTTTCTCCAGATGACCATCAGATCGCACACTCACGGTGAAAACTCTTAGGTGAGATGCTGATGTGAATGTGATCCTAATTGATTTCAGATTCTCAGATACGGCAGAGGGATTGCCCCCATCTGGATCTCTGCTGAAAATATTCCTCAGGAAAAGGATATTCCAGATTGCCCCTGTGGTGCCAAGAGAATATTTGAATTCCAGGTATGACCTTAAATAAGACTATTTTAGTATATAATCACCTGTAGATTTATCTTTTTAAACATTAAAAAACTTTACCAAAGTAATAAATGCACATGAGTCCATCTAGTTTTAGGGAACGTGTCCTATAATGAAAACTGTTTCCTGCCCCACCTCAGGGCTTGTTTCCTGGAGGAAACTGTCTTTTACTGCTTTATCTGGTAGTTATTTCTATCTCTAAATAACATGCTTTTTCTGATATTTCTGTTTACTAGTTTTTAGACATTATCTGTTGACTGACTTCTGCAGTAATGAGATATTTAGATGTCGTTGCTGATACCACCTAGACCATCCCCCACCTCCTAGTGTGGTTATATCATTATTTTTAGTGCCTCCATTGTTACCTTTGTAATTTTAAATAATATACCTTTTTGTTCCATTAGTTAAGGTTTTTGACTGTACTTTGTGAGAGCAGTGTTTTAGAACACTTACTCTGTTTAGTCTTGGTTTGTAGATTTGTTAAGAAAACAAATGGATGTAATCATTAAGGTAAATGTTTTTTCAAAAGAAACTGTTAGCATCAAAATCCATTTGGGTTGGGTGGAAATGCTCTTGAACTGTGGATTCACTAACCTTACGAAGTGGTAGGTAATATTTGTTTTTTAGAGTAAAGAAGCAGTTATGAGGACTGTATCTAACACTGGTTAGTTCTTAGTACCAAAGCTCTTGAGGCCCAAGAGGAGCAGACGGTGTTTGTATGAAGTGATTTCCTGTCATTGCTGGCAGTTCGCCTCTTCACTCTTTCCCATTAGACCACTTGACTTCCACGATCCCTTTCTATACAAATACATCAGTACATTTCCTTTTTATACTCATTACTACTAGTCAGTGTTTCTTTATAGTAACAGCATCTGCTATTCAGGTTTTAAATGACACAAAATAAAAGTTGCCCAAATAGAAGTCTTAGCACTGTTTTGTGGCATATTAATAATTTTAAAAAATTAAATTGACAGCCAGGCCAAATAGATCAGCTGATCATCTTATACTTGGGAACTTCTTAAATGGAAAAGAAAGACACCAAATGAAGTAGAGATGGGTTCTGAAGAAACAGAGTTGCAAAATATTTTTAGGTTGTTAAATATGTTAATTGTGTAATGTCTATAATCCTGTGTAGTATGGGGATGAAAAGACCAGGTCTCTGTAAGTGCCCTGGCACTGAAGGTCTGTAGGAAGCAGACGGTGCTCCTGGCCTTGAAGCAGGGCTCTAACTGTGTCATCCTCTTCTCAGGTCATGCCTCAGCTGCTCAACTACCTAAAGGCCGACAGACTGGGCAGGAGCGTTGATTGGGGTGTCCTGGCCATCTTCACGTGTGCTGAAAGCTGTAGGCTGGGCACTGGCTACACAGAGGAGTTTGTTTGGAAGCAAGATGTAACAGATAGACCTTAAAGGCAACATAAAGCCTTAAAAATGCTCACAATCTCTTAGACCTTGCAATTCCATTTCTAGACTTTATCCTAAGGAAATAATTATACCAGAGATAGAGGTACAAAGATGTTGTTTTAGGCATTAAAATGTCTAAACATTAGTGGAAAAAAAATTACCAGTGACAGGGAATTAAATAAATCTTGGTGTACCTATACAGTGGAAGGCTATGTAGTCTTAATGATATAGACCTATATGCATACCAAAAAAACAGATCTGAACTGACACCAAGATACCACTATAAGTGGTATTCATAGTATGATCACATTTTTGTTAAAATATTTATACATGTGTATGTGCACAGGAATAAATGAGGAAAGATAAACACTAGGTGTGAACTGGTTAACTGAATGGTGGGCTAAGTAAAATGATGTCTTTTCTTATATGTATATTTCTACAATAAAAATAGGTTATGTGCCTAAGTAAGTCAAACTCAGCATTTCCCCCTCTGAAATTGGCAAAGTTAAAACAAAAATATTTGGCTAAAACCCCAAGAGACTTGTCTGATAATCAGGTGATTGTCACAGGCTCTGGCATATATAGAAGCCAAGAACATGAGAAAAATACTGAACCCCACTAGGCTGGTGCAATGAATGGGGTACCCAGTGATTCTGAAGCAGCAGCAGCAGCAAAGTTAGCTAGATCAGGAAAACAGGTTTGTGATCAGAAAACCTGATCTTGAAGAGAAGCTCTACTTCAAAACTGACCTTGGTGAGCTAGTGGCACTGCTTACAGGACGAGAAACTGAAAGGCAACAGTGATGGTCTTCCCTTTCCATCTCATACTGCCCTACACATGGGGCGTAAACCCAAGTAAGGATGCAGGAATCAGCCACTGGATTTTCCCTAGGTCAGCCCCAGGACCATGTGGCCCAGGAGGCAGCAGCCTGAGGGAAGGCCCTGAGGCCAGCTTTCAAGTGTGGAATATTCTGTTTCTGAAGCATCTGTTTATGCAAGTGGTTCCTAAATCTGTTAACCATGCTAAGGCTCCTCCCAGCCTCTAGTGTTTAACAATTATCTGGGGATAATTTCCAATTCTCGCAATACCAGTGCTGCCTGCCCAACACTAAGGCAAATATGAAGACACACTTGTTGATAAGTGCTTGAAAGCCAACAGCTAATTCTGATAACTTTCTCATCATTATTTCCTTAATCCACACAGGCTCACATTATCCCATACACATCCCTGCTAACCCTGGAATACACTGCAACATAAACACATCTTTTTGGAGGTAATATCTGCTAATGTCATTGACTGCATGGCCATTTCATTATACTTTTATATCAGAAAGTTCTGGCCTGTAAGTCCACATTGTGTGTGTATATGTAATTCATAAAGATGTGTGCATATAAAATATAGTTACATCCAGTACCATATGGGAAACTGCAGTATGGAATTCCCATGGGGAGATTTGTTACTAGGCTACTTTTAAATACAACTTTTAAAGAGGGAGAGAGTGGTGGTTTGAGGCTGAGGGCACTAAATCCGTGAGAATCACCTATAATTATGGTGATATGGCCCGTGACTCCTGGAGGACACAACATTAAAATTTTTCATCAACTAGTGGCAAGAGTCACACACTTGGTAGGATGCTCTGGCTTCTGGAAAAGTGGATTAGTGGGGCCTTTCTATCCCAAATTGTAAATCTTATATTCAGGTTATGTTACAGTCAGTTTTCCAAAGTAGAACAGCATCCTGACAAAGGACTTTTCAGGCGAATTCATTAGGGTCTGTCTATGTGGAGACATCACCAATGATGTGGACATTCTCACAGGCATGTGGGTAGTAACCAGCCACACTGTCCTTTAGGTGTGTATCCCCACCAAGCTCTGGAGGTGATGGCAGAAGTTCACAGGGCCTTTCCACCTGGAGACAGACTAGTCCAAATCACTGGAAAGAAAATGTCAGAGCACCAACTAAAATAGCAACTATGTGGACAATAAATAATACCGAAAAAAATAAAACAAAAAAAATTAAAGACATCAAGCAACTCAGTTGCCTCTCAAAATGTCAAGACACATTTAAAAACACCATAAAACTGACTGACTTGTATCACCCAGTAACTGCTCCTGCAGAGGACTTCAATCACCAATCCAGGCATTCCATTGCTTCCCAAAACCTCTGCTGGGCCCAGACAGCTCTCCCTACTGTAGAGAGACCTGTCCTTGTATGTCACATGTTGAGTGCTTATCTCATCATCCTTTAACAATTCAGAGATCATAGCAAAAAAATGTTTAGGTGCTTTTGATAATAGTACTGGCGGTAGTATTCTGTTATTCTAAGACTGTTGCACGATTAACATGAGATCAAGTAAATGACTAATTACGGGATATTCCAACCCATCATCCCACATGTCTTTAAAAATTAAGGATTCTCCCGTTGGAAAACTATTAGAAATAATCAACAACTACAGCAAAGTCACAGGGTACAAAATCAATCTACAAAAATCAGTTGCATTTCTGTATGCTAATAACAAACTAACAGAGAGCTCAAAAAGATAATACCATTTACAATTGCATCAAAAAGAATAAAATATCTAGGAATAAATCTTACCAAGGAGGTGAAAGACCTATACAATGAAAACTACAAGACATTATTGAAAGAAATCAATGATGACATAAAGAAATGGAAAGACATCCCACGCACATGGACTGGAAGAATAAACATAGTTAAAATGTCTATATTACCTAAAGCAATCTACAGATTCAATGCAATCCCATCAGAATCCCAATGACATTCTTCACGGAAATAGAAAAAAGAATACTAAAATTCATATGGGGCAACAAAAGACCCCGAATAGCTAAAGCAATTCTAAGAAAAAAGAACAAAGCTGGAGGCATCACAATCCCTGACTTCAAAACATACTACAAAGCAATAGTAATCAAAATAGCATGGTACTGGTACAAAAACAGACAAACAGATCAATGGAACAGAAGTGAAAGCCCAGAAATAAAACCACATATATATGGACAGCTAATTTTTGACTAAGGAGCTAAGAATATACAATGGAGAAAGGAAAGTCTCTTCAGTAAATGGTGTTGGGAAAACTGGACAGCCACACACAAAAGAATGAAAGGGGACCATCTGCTATCGCCATTCACAAAAATTAACTCAAAATGGATCAAAGACCTGAAGGTGAGACCTGAAACTATAAAACTCATAGAAGAAAATATAGGCAACACACTATTTGACACTGGTCATAAAGGAATCTTTTCAGATGACATGCCTACCAGACTAGGGAAACTAAAGAAAAAATAAACAAGTGGGACTTTATCAGATTAAAGAGCTTCTACAAGACAAACGAAACCAGAATCAAGATGAACAGACAACCCACCAGCTGAGAGAGAATATTTGCAAAACATGTATCTGACAAGGGGTTGATCTCCATAACATATAAAGAACTCACACAACTGAACAACAAAAATACAAACAACCCGATCAAAAAATGGGCAGAGGAAATGAACAGACACTTCTCCAAAGAAGATATATAGATGGCCAACAGGCACATGAAAAGATGTTCAACATCGCTAATTATCAGGGAAATGCAAATCAAAACAACACTAAGATATCACCTAACGCCCGTTAGAATGGCTATAATCACCAAGACAAAAAACAACAAGTGTTGGAGAGGATGTGGAGAAATAGGAATCCTCATACACAGCTGGTGGGAATGCAAACTGGTGCAGCCTCTACGGAAAACGGTATGGAGATTCCTCAAAGAATTAAAAATAGAGATGCCCTATGATCCAGCTATCCCACTACTGGGAATCTATCCAATGAACCTGAAATCAACAATCCAAAGAGGCTTATGCACCCCTATGTTCAATGCAGCATTATTCACTATAGCCAAGAAGTGGAAGCAACCTAAGTGTCCCTCAACTGATGATTGGATCAAGATGATGTGGTATATATATACAATGGAATACTACTCAGCCATAAAAAAAGACAAAATCGTCCCATTTGCAACAACGTGGATGGGCCTGGAGGGTATTATGTTACGTGAAGTAAGCCAGAAAGAGAAAGACAAACACTGTATGGTCTCACTCATATGTGGAATATAAACCAACACATGGACAGAGAAAACTGTATTGTGGTTACCAGGGGCAGTGGGGGTGGGGGGTGGGCACAAGGGGTGAAAGGAGACACATATATGGTGATGGACAAATAAAAATGTACAACCCAAAATTTCACAATGTTAAAAACTATTAAAACATCAATTAAAAAAAAAAAAACATTAAGGATTCTCAGGGCCAGCCTGACGGCGTAGTTAAGTTCGTCTGCTCCGCTTCAGCAACCTGGGGTTCTTGGGTTCAGATCCCTGACACAGACCTACACACCGCTCATTAAACCATGCTGTGGTGGTGTTCCACATACAAAATGGAGGAGGACTGGCACAGATGTTAGCTCAGCGACAATCTTCCTCAAGCAAAAAGAGGAAGACTGGCAACAGACATTAGCTCAGGACCAAACTTCCTCATCAAAAAAAAAAAAGAAAAAAATTAAGGATTCTCTATGTAAAAAATAATGTAGAATATAGAATAGGTCAAATAAAACCCTGCAGTCCTGAATATGAACTGGATAGGTCAGTATGAACTCAGGAGGTATTTTATCTTGAAAACTTTTAAAGGGAAAGAAGCAAGCATTTATCCTGCTATCTGAAGTGATCACTTTATAAAAGTATTCCAACAAATAAATGAAAAAGAAATGAAATGACTAGAATTTCATCGTTTGCTACCCACTAACAAATTAATGGATCAATGAAAGAGACACAACCAGACATTTGATTGCTAAAAAAAAAACACATCACCCACAGTCTTACAAAGGGATCAAGCCCCTGGATGCAGGCGCCCATTTGCAGGAAACACAGAACAGAGGAACAGACTGACCTACACCACGAATCTGCAAATAGCAAGACAGAGACCATAAGAAACTACCAGCCAAATGGCCTGTAAATTTTAAGGAAAAGAGATGGAGGGGGAACTTAAGGAATGAAACAGACATAAAAACAACTACTTTTTTAAATGGAAGACTGAACTATATTACTGTTTAGGTGATTTTACTAAAAAGTCAGGATAATGGTTATTTTGGGGTGAGTTGGGGTTGTGGCTGGACTAGAGCATAAAGAGGGGCTTCTGGGACAGCTGGCAA